GGGTTCCCATTTCCTATTGGTTTCCCCTGTCCTGTAATAGGCAACACTGTGATAGACTGAGAAGAAAACATAAAAACAGGCTCTTTGAGAAGTATCTCCGAATGTAGTGAGTGACTTGTCAAGCAACAGCTCAAGACTGGTAAGGCTTTAAGTGCTCAGAAGGTACTTACTTGCTAACTGACTGGAGGCAACAAGACAGAGTGGAAAGATTATCAGCCCTTTGGAGCTAGAGCTCTGGTCCTGGCTCTACATGGACTGACTGATCTGATCAACTCTCCAATCTTGGCCACATCCTTTTGTTTTGTTTGTTTTGGTTTCGTTTGGTTTGTTTTCTGAGGATGGCAAAAAGCCACATATTTTAACCACTCAGAGTCTTACTTCAGTCATCTACAAAATAAGAGAATACTGGCCCTGTAAGTCAGCAGTTAAAGGTTCTAGATCCCACGTGGTCAACCCATGGTTTAAGTTCCCACTCTGGTGGCTTGAGAAACACACTGGGCGTGTGTGCCAAGATTCTGATGGGAAACAGGGATGGAGGAAGAACTGTGGCATGACCATGCTTCAATGGGGGATGCGTCTTCTTCTCTTTGGCAAGAGCACCTGCCCTCTGGACAAAAACAAAAACAAAAACTGCAAAGTACGAAGATGGACCAGATACATAAGGTAATTTTCAGGTCTGACATTCCTCATTCTTTTTCTTTTTGGTTTTTAAGTTCACTAGGGCACATTCATTCACCAGAGATAGTTACCAAGAGAGACATACAGAGACAGAGGCAAACTGAGAAAGCAACCCCTAGAGGGATGGCAACACCATAATCCTTGCTCCTTTGCTTTCCTCTTGGGGTTTTGGGACAGGCATGCACATGTACCCGGTGTCTTTTTCAAGCTGCCGGGCACCACACATTTGATCTTTGGGATCCAGCCACCCTAACCACTGGCTGGCCCCAAGTCTGACATTCTTCAAGTCCATTTCTGGTTAAAAGGTAGTCTCTCAGGCTGGCTTTGTGGCCTGGTGATCAAGGCAGTCATATCCCACATGGCCACCTGCACAGTTTGAGAAACATGCCAGCATGTGTTTGTGCATGCCCAGAACTCCAAATGGAGGGAGGGAGGGGGGGAGGAAGGAAGGGAGAGAGAGAGAGAGAGAGAGAGAGAAAGAGAAGGGATTGCCATATGACCATTCCCCAGAGAGGGTGCTTTCTCTTCTCTCTCCGGCGAGCACATGTACTTCTAGTGCACATGTACAGATAGATATCCACACGGATATAACCTCTCTTTCACATAGTTAAAAGAAATTTATGCAGGCCTGAGGATAATCAAGAGTCCTTCTGAGTCCCGGAGTAATTACTCTTCCATAAGGATATAACTAATAGGGTGTTTTTAGATACAGACTACTTTCTGACTAAATTCTAACATAATCTCACATTTCTCTAGCACACCTCTTAATTGTATAGGAGCAAAAATAAAAACGAATAACTACAGCAATCTAACTTAAAATACTGTATTAAATTTTGCTGCCAGAAAACAACCTGGCAGCCTATACCTAAAATCTAAAACATCTTATACTTGATGTTAATTTTCATCTGGAAATCTAGTTTAAGGAAACACAGATAAAAGTTTCATGCACAAATACGTCCATAGCAGCAGTCCGTGATAATGACAAATAGGAAACAGCCTAAGTGGCCAGCGATATGATGTTACCAAAGTCTTAAATATCCTAATACTAACGGTAACAGTGATGATGACAATGACAGCTGACTACACTGAGCATGACATCATGCCTGTCCTGGTGCTAAGGACATTACACCCTTTACTTAATCCATAACAATGACATGAGATAGGCTGATTAATCTCATACAGAGATGAGAAACAGACTCGGAGGTTAAAATAACTCTCTTAAGATCACATAACTAGCAATTAAGTGGGAGAATAAAAAAGATTCTAACTACAACACTAAGGAAAAAATAAGAGGGACAGCAACTTGTGAAGGGCGTACTTTAGTCTCGAAAATCTTTTTTTTTTTTTTTTTTTGGAGAGGTTTTCGCTATAGGGTGCATGTGTTCACCAGACAGAGAGACATATAGACAGAAAGCGAGAAATCACCCTCCAGGGGGGACGCCGCATTCCCTTCTCCTCCATTCTCCTCTCAGGATCTTGGGCACGCACACACACGTACCCGGCGTGATTTTTAAGCCACCAGGTCCGGGACGTGAACCGTGGTCGAATACGTGGGAGTCCAGCAACATAGCCATTACCCTAACTGCTGGTTCCCAATCTCGAAAATCTTTGAAGAGAAGCTATTTGAGCTGAGTTCTACAAATAAGAATGAGCAAACCATCCCAATTTCTGACAGAGGACTAGCTATGTGTTACATAAAAGAGCACACTATGTAAGATTTTATCTAAAGGTGGGGCTAGAAGATGGTGTGATGGTTAAGGCACTGAATTCCCACATGGCTGACTAGTTCAAGTCTCAGACCCGGTGGCCTGAAAATCATGCCAGCATGTGTGTCTGCATGCCTAAAATCTCAAGGGGAGAATGGAAGAGAAGAGACTGTAGCATGGCCATATCCTTGGGGGGGGGTGCGATTTCTCCCTCCCCACATCTCTCTGTCAATCGTACGCACCCTATGGCAAAAACCTTAAAAAGAAAAAAAAGAGAAAAAAAGATGAGACTAGCAGGTGGCGTAATGGCTATGTCGCTGGACTCCCATGTTATCAACTGCTGTTCAAGTCCCATACCCAGTGGCTTACACTCATACCAGGCGCGCGTGTGTGTGCGCCCAAGATCTCAAGAGGAGAATGAAGGAGAAGGGACTGCGGCGTAGCCAACCTGCCTGGGGGTGATTTCTCTCTTTCCGGCGAGCCTATGCGCCTTATAGCAAAATCCTCTCAAAAAAAAAAAAAAAAAAAAAAGTCACTGTAGTCTCATCATCTGAATCCAGTCGATCTTAACATCTCAGTGTACATCTTCCCAGTCTTTTCTATACCATAGTGTTTGTATATAAGCACCTTAATTGCTACATTTTCCATAAAGTCTTTTCATGGACTACATTTTTTGTCAACTACATGGGAGTCCAGAGACGCAGCCATTCTGCCATCTGCTGGTTACGGTACTTATTTCAGAATGTTATCAATAAGCTCTGAGAGCACCAGAGACAAAGTACTATGCACTACATGTTGGGTGATGGTGGTGATATCATCGCTGCTATCATCGCATCGTCATCCTTTTTTAAATCTGGCTGTGAGGTGCCAGCAGCTAGTGTAGTGGTTAAGATGCTGGACTTCCACATGGCTGACCACGGTTCGAGTCCTAGACCTGGCATCTTGGGGGGGGGGGGGGGACAAAATCATGCCAGGCCCATGTGCATGTGCCCAAAATCCTGAGAGAATAATGGAGGAGAAAGTATTGCAGTGTGGCCTTCCTGTGTGATTTCTCACTTTCTCTTTCCACTGAGCATACGTGCCTAATATCATAAATAAATAAATACAGGAGTTTGGCAGGGAAGGAGAAGACTTAGAGGGAGGTAAAAGAGAGATTGAAAGAATTTTTTTCCTCCCTTATCAAAGAGACCTAAACATGATGAAATGATGATAAGAAATAGGAAAAGCAAAGGAGGAAAGAACTGATGAGAAGAGGTCGTAGAAAGGAAGAAGGGCTGAAATCTTTCCATTTCAGGCAGGGATCCCTAACCACCAAGCCACACCACAGACTGGTATCAGTCTGTGGCCAGCTGCTGCCCACTCCCCCTCCCCCCACCGGCCACACAGCAGGGGTAGGGGAGGGAGTGGGAAGTAGGCACTGCAGCAAGGCTTTGTCTAGGTCTATAGCGCCCCACCCTTCACATTGCTACCTGGTCTCTGTCTCTGGCCAGGTCAGCAGCAGTACTGGCTTCTCACGGGAGAGCAAATCCTACTGCTGTGTGACTGTCTGACCGTACACTACAATGTGGAGGTAGTGGGAGGAGGCGCATGGTAGATGTGGATGCTTGGCTCATCCAGGACAAGACCCCCCACAACCCAGGTTGTGGATGGATTTCTTCCATGAGGTTGTTCGCCAGTATCAGGAAGGTTGGGGACTGCTGATTTAAGGGGATAGCTTTAGAGAGAAGCACGGACATTTCCTCCACAGTGACAACAGCAAAGAATACATAGAGAGATGGGGACATAGTCCAACTGCTACATAGGGAAAACACAGGATGCTGAGCACTGCTGACAGTTACTATTCTCATGATAAAGCACAAGGTAAGATTAAAGTCTTTGAGAGCCTTAACAGGAGCCATAAAGTGTCTGCAAAGGCAGGCACAAAATGCAGTCTCAAAATAACAATTCACATTCACAGGTACTTGCTAGGTCCAGGAACTTGGCAAGCTGTGCTAATATATTAGGCTCCGTTAATCTCCATGGCAACACTACAAGGTAGATCCTACGGTTGTTATTACTGACCTCTTTGTTCACATGAGAAAATAGAGCCTCAAAGAAGTTAAAGAACTTGCTTAATGTTATAAAACTAGACAATAGTGAAACCAGGATCAGAACTCAAATCATTTGAAAGCTTGAGCAACTCTGTATTGCCACAAGGTTTATTGCCTCTTAGTACAATCACCTTCTCTCATTCTTACAAAATTGTAGAAAACTTTCTCTCCACTTACCAAAAAGACAACGAAAATGTAAGAGTAGAGAATTGCAAATTGATTCACTACCATTTCATTAAACCAAGACAGTTAAAAAAGCAAATTTTGAGTGCCTTCAGGCAAGGAATGCAGTTTACTTTCCACCATCCCCCACCCAGGGACTTCACACTGATAGCTTGGTCCCTGATGGCATATATATGAGCTACAATGCAATCTCTGACTTAGTAAGTCGATTGGAACAGGAGAAAACAAAAGCATGCTCCGAATTACTACCTTCCTGTTAGTTGGTATTAAGTGAAAAACTAAGTGAAAAGATTCACTCCTCGGGGTAGAAATCAGTGAAAAATACAACAAATATCAAACATACCTTAATATCATTGTCTATTCCACCAGAAATAATCTGATCACTTGTGTCATTGAAGGTCACAGCTAATACTTGGTACGTGTTCTGAAATGTCTGGATGGCTGCTTTCTTCCGAATGTCCCAAAGCTGAAGCACAGGAAAAAGATAGTCAGTCTACTGTCACTCTAAGAAGTAACTGCACAGGCAGCCAGTGCTGTGGTGGTAAAGGTGGCTGGATCCCATATGGCTGGCTGCATAGTTTGAGTCCTAGACCAGGCAGATTGAGAAACACACTGGAGAGCATGTGTGCATGCCAAAAATCCTAAAAGGGAGAAATGGAGAAAGAACTGCAGTGTGACCATTCCCTACGGGGGTGCTTTCTTGTCCCTCCTGCCCCCACCGTCCTGTATGCACACGTGCCCTCTAGCTTAAATTCAACCCTGTGGTCAGTAAGTAGAGCCTGGGTAGGAGGACCTGTACCACGATCTTTTAATTCTCATGGCTTGGAATAAAAACTAATTTTTACTTCATTCACAGAAACATGAGCTAAAAAGGCTCAGGTTGGAGCCCAGCAGATGGCATACTGGTTATATTGTTGGACTCCCACATAGCTGACCACAGTTCAAGTCCTGGACCCCATGGCTTAGAAATCATGCTGAGCACGTATGTGCCCATGCCTGAAATCCCAGGAGAATGGAGAAGGGACTGTGGTGTGGCCATCTCCCCCTGAGGGGTGATTTCTCACTTTCCTTCTCACTGTCTTCTGTGTCTCTCTCTGGTCAGCGCACATGCCCTATGGTAAAAAACTTAAAAAACAAACAAACAAACAAAAAACAAAGCTTAAGATGTTAGATAAATGATTCAAAAAGAGTACCTCACTCTTTCCTACAGACTTAACACATCCCTACCCACCAATCCCTCTAGCTCATTTAAATACAGTTTGGAGGGACCAGTAGGTGGCATGGTTAAGGGCACTGGATTTGAGTCCTGGACCTAGTGGCTTGATTTCTTACTTTCCCTTTCTCTCTCTCTCTCTGGTCAAATAAAAAAATAATAACAAGTAGAATTAAATAAATACATCTTTATAAAAATACTAGTTGAAGGCAAAGACTCTGTGTTCTTGGGGTATTGTTGCTCTGAAACCTTTTAAGTGCACAGCTAGGCAATACCGCTGACTCTTGAACAATATGGGAGCTTGGGGTACCAATGCCCTTCCACAGCCAAAAAGGTGAGTAACTTCTGACTCTTCCAAAATGTAAGAGCTATTAGCCTATTGCTGACTGGAAGCTTTACCATAACACACACAGACAGTCCATTAACAACTATTTTATGTGTTGTATGTATTACATACTACATTCTTAAAATGAAGCTAGAGGGACAAAAGAGGCTAGCCAGATCCTACATGGATAACCATATGCTTCAAGTCACAGCCCCAGTGGCCATCAAAAAAAAAAAAAAAAAAAAAAGTGTGTGTGTGTGCATGCATGCCCCAAATCCTGACAGGATAGAAAGAAGGGACTGTGACATGACCATGGCCCACTGGGGGGAGCTTTCTCACTTCTCTCTTTGGCAAGTACATGTGCTCTTTGGCAAATAAAAATAAAAATATTAAAAACCAAACCATGAGCACAGACCCATAACCCAGTGGTTAAAGTGGGATCCCACATGGCTGATCATGGTTTGAACCCTAAATTGAGGAACTTAAAGACAAATGTGCATGTGTGCTTCCCAAATCCCAAAGGGATAGAGAAGGGACCGCAGTGTAGCCACCCACACTCTATTGGAGGTCTTTTCTTCCCCACCTGCCATGAGCACACAGACCATGGAAGAGAAAACATTTATGCTCTGGGAAGTGACTGCTGAAATAAAGCTGCACAGAGAGGAGCACAACATAGGTGGGAATGCAAGATGAAGTTCATAATACGTCACCTCTGTAACTTTAACACAGGTCTAGGTTCAACTCCCTGCCCACCACGGGCTGGGCATAATAATGTGTGTCCCAAATCCCAGCAACTCAGGGGACTATGACACAGGAAGACACTTTAAAAGAAAACAAGATAGCACAGACAGAGGACACCCACCTTAACTGTACCATCATCACTGCCAGTGCAGACCAGCTGGGGGCCCCTCCTGGCTGGATAACAGGAATTCACAAAAGAAGTGTGTCCCTTCAGCCTCTTAACTCTCTCGCCTGTCTCACTGTCCCACACTGCCACGGTTTTATCTGTGGATGCTGAGAAGAGCATGCTAGAAAGTAAAAAGAGTAACAAAAAAGAATTAAGTGAAGAAAAATAATAACCTATCTTTCCCACTCGCCAAAACGTGCCAAATTGTTCGAGATCACTGCCTAGCTGTGCTATGCCAGTTTGGCAAACAATACAGGAATCCCTTACTCTAGCTTCCAAAATCCTACTGGCACTCTGAACCTACTCAAATGGCCTTCTCTGTGGTCAGACTATGGCAGTTCTGAACCCGACAGCTGAGTATCTCTGAACTTTTCTCTAAAAAGCAGTTTTTCTTCTGTTTCTCTCTCTCTCTTTTAAAACAAATTTTCTGTTTATTTTATTTATGATTACACTTAATTTGACCAGAGAGAGGGAGAGAAAGAAGGAAAGTAAGAAAGCGAGCCACCAAATCCAGGACTCAAACCGTGGTCAGCCACATGGGAGTCCAGTGCCCCAACTGCCATGACACCTGCTAGCCCCAATGAGAAAGGAACCTGCCCAGTTCGGGACTTGAACTGTGGTCAGCCATATGGGAGTCCAGCACCTTAACTACGACACCAATTGCTATTCCCCCTTCTGTTTCAATTAAAGTAACTTACAACTGATTTTATTATGCTTTCTTTCCAAGAAAATGTACATGAGATGATACAGCAGTTGATGAACCACACTAAGATTTTAGAGATCAGAGTTGTAAAATCAATGAATGTTTACCGAAATACTCAACAATGGGATTAACTGAATTTCTATATTATCTATAGACATTCTAAAATTATGAAGTCATTAAAACAATGCTTATGATAACAGACCCTAGAGGAATAATGTTAATGAAAAAAAGCAGCAGATAGGGACCAGCAGTTAGCGTAATGGCTATGTCACTGGACTCCCATATGGCTCCCGTGGTTTGCATCCCGGACCCGGAGGCTTAAAACTCACGCCGGGCGCGTGTGCGTGCATGCCCAAG